AGAACCAAGAAGATGACACCTTTGTATTGACGCGATCTCACCCAAAAACCTCCATTGGTGCCCTCGTCACGTTTTGTATTGAGTGCAGTTCCGCACTTTCGCTGCTAGGGAGCGCACCACTCCTTGATAAATAATCTACTGAAACATTTCAGTTTGCGGTGAACGCGCGGCGCTATGAACCTAGCGACCCGGGTTCGATTCCCGCTCACGGCCAACACCAGTGACGATTATCTGAACCGGTCCTGGGCCTCCCCTAGGTCGACTCAGCCCGAAAGGAGTACCTGGTGTGGTGTGTAAACATCGCCACTGGGGAGACAAAGGCGGTCGGGCGTGGTGCTGGCCACCCACCCCCTCGTGTACCGTTCCGGCCTTCATAGGTGCTGCTCGCTAACAGCACTTGCCCCTACAGTCTGTTAAGGCTACACGGGGGATCTTTATCTTTGTACACCCCTTAGAGCAGTGGTTCTTCTTTTTACTCTTTGTTTTTTTTCGGTAAAGTAACGTAGGTTAAAAAATTAAATAAATTAAATAACGACGTTTCGGAGGCAACACAAGCTTCCGCCTTCAGGTGGAACAGTCACAGTCAAATTGCCGCATCAAGTTTGCTGTGACGGTTCAACCTGAAGACGGAAGCTTGAAACGTCGTGATTAAATTAATGTATTTATTTCACTCACGTGACTTTACCGAACACGTTCCTTCGGAGTGGGCAGGTAGGAACTTGGTTGGACAGCGCATTCGTGCCCGACAGACAGACAAATAATCCCTGGTGGGCAGTGTGGAACCTGTTGTTCCTACCTGTGTACAAGATCACGTGACTTGAGGTAGCCAGGCAGCCAGCCCCCTTAACTATCGGCTCCTCCCCCTTGCTTAGGCCCCTCCCCTTACCCCCCCCCCCTCCCTTAGGCCCCTCCCCTGACCACCCCCCATATCCTCAGGCCCCTCCCCTGACCCCCCCTCCCTTAGGCCCCTCCCCTGATCCCCCCCTCAGCCCCTCCCCTGATCCCCCCCTCCCTCAGGCCCCTCTCCTGACTCCCCCCTTCCTTAGGCACCTCCCCTCTCCGTACCCGGCAGTAGGTCTCCACCAATCAAAGAGCTGTGTGTATTATATATTTATTTATGCACGACAGACAGACAGACAGTCAGACAGACAGACAGCTAAATAATCCCTGGTGGGCAGTGTGGAACATTGTTCCTCCCTGTAAAAAACCAAAGAGTATGAATCCTTGCAGTCACGAAAACTTCAAATTTAGAATTTATTTAAAGTTGCGCATTTTAACGTGACGTCACATTTCTCAACCCCCCCCCCCCCCTAAGGTGCGTAACGTCATTTATGGACGGCCCCTAAATTGGCCTTACCTGATAAGAAAAAAAAGTCGGGGTTTTAACTAAACTCCCTTCCCGCCAGGAGAAGGCAGTACAGCAAACGCGTGGACGAATCTCCGCCCGTTCCGTCTGCGCGGGATCGAGGGTTTCGCCCTCGCACGCGCGCGGGTTTTTCTCCCGGTGCCCAGGTGTCTCTGCCCACGTGCAAACACTCAGTCGTCGGTAGAGGAGCAAGCGCGTGAACACGCAGAGAGACGGGCAGGTAAGACCTTCACTCGAGAACGTGGTCACACAAAGGCACGCACGCCTATGCAGTAGCACCGATTGAAAGTATGAACTGCACCCGAGGTAAGTGGGTTGCATGGCCCGTCAACCCATCACGCGATGTACCCCACATTCTTGTACAGGGACATTGAGTTTGCAGGTTCACGCGACCGACAGCCGTTTCACTACGGGCGAAAAACGTGTTTTTAAATCCTTTATATTAAGTTCGCTTGCTTGCTTGCTTGCGTGCTTGCTTGCTTACGACCGTGCAAATCTTTCGGTCGTTGTTTAACCCACTTCCCGTGATCCAATCGAGCTGACATTTTCCACACAGACTCGTTGTGCGTGACAAATAATGTTCGTGAAATTTTTTTTCCAAAATTTTACACTTTTTAGGACAAAAATATTATATTTAATTACCAATTGCTTAATGGTGCAATGCAATCATCTGACCCATAGGTGGCAGCCATCTCAAGCCAGTGGACGAGAGGACTCTAGCCGCCACGCATATAAAGGATTTATAGTGAAAAACTTTGTTTTTACGGGTTATACTTATTTGTATTTTTCCCCCTTCTTATTTACACCGCCTCCACCCACGCACCCACCACGGAAGAGAATCATTAGACCCTGGTGCCAATTACAGAGACAGCAAGCTCCATTCTCTCCAATACCCCCGTGTGTGTGTATGTGTGTGTGCGCGGAGGAATGAGCCCATCAGCGGCAGGGGATGGGTCACACGATGAGGCTCTCACAACGGAGAGACGCGACGCGGTGTCGTCTTCACATGCGAAGCATGCTGTTCGTTGCCTTTACGGTGGCGAGATGTTGACTATCTCGCCTGGTATGCAGGAGGTCGTGGGTTCCTTCCCGACCCTGACGCCTGCTGCTGTATATTTTTACGGGTTATACTTATTTTCCTATTTATTTGCGTGCCTCCCTTGTGATGGGGCTTTGTAGGATGAACGTTGAGATTTATAAGGGACACGGGGTGACCGGTGAGGTCTGACTTGGTCTGTAATAAGGTAGGGCACTGATAAGGGGTTGACAGGTATATAATAGTGTAGCGTATAGTGTAGTGTATAGTGTAGTGTATAATAGTGTATAGTAGTGTATAGTGTAGTGTATAGTGTAGTGTATAGTGTAGTGTATAGTAGTGTATAGTGTAGTGTATAGTAGTGTATAGTGTAGTGTATAGTGTAGTGTATAGTAGTGTATAGTGTAGTGTGTAGTGTATAGTGTAGTGTATAGTGTAGTGTATAGTACATAGTGTAGTGTATAGTAGTGTAGTGTATAGTGTAGTGTATAGTGTAGTGTATAGTAGTGTATAGTGTAGTGTATAGTGTAGTGTATAGTGTAGTGTATAGTGTAGTGTATAGTAATGTAGTGTATAGTAGTGTAGTGTATAGTGTAGTGTATAGTAATGTAGTGTATAGTAATGTAGTGTATAGTGTAGTGTATAGTATAGTAGTGTATAGTGACTTTGTAGGATGAACGTTGAGATTTATAAAGGGCACGGGATGACCAGCGAGGTTTGACTTGTTCTGTAATAAGGCAGGGCCCTTTCGATTTAAAGCTTTCGTAACTGCAGGGATTCATCTGCTTGGTTCTTTCAGTAAAGTCACGTAGAAGGTAAGTAATAAAATAATAAAAATAAAACATAATTAAATATAATACAATTTCGATTTAAAGCTTTCGTGACTGCAGGGATTCATCTTCTTGGTCCTTTCGGCAAAGTCACGTAGAAGAAAAGTAATAAAATAATAAAATAATAAAATATTTATTATGTTTTAGTTTTCTTATTTTATTACTTCCCTTCTACGTGACTTCACCGAAAGAACCAAGAAGATGAAGGCAGGGCCCTGATAAGGGGTCGACAGGTACGTAATATTGTAGTGTATAGTGTAGTGTATAGTGTAGTGTATAGTAATGTAGTGTATAGTGTAGTGTATAGTGTAGTGTTTAGTGTAGTGTATAGTAATGTAGTGTATAGTAGAGTAGTGTATAGTGTAGTGTATAGTGTAGTGTATAGTAATGTAGTGTATAGTAGTGTATAGTGTAGTGTATAGTGTAGTGTATAGTAATGTAGTGTATAGTAGAGTAGTGTATAGTGTAGTGTATAGTGTAGTGTATAGTAATGTAGTGTATAGTGACTTTGTAGGATGAACCTTGATATGTATTAGGGACACGGGGTGACCAGTAGACCGCCTTGGTGTGTAATACGGCAGGAGCACTGCTAAGGGGTTGACAGCTATGGGGTGACCAGCATCGCCCCAGAAAACTTTATTCGAGTCACTCGATGGCGTTTGGTGGCAGTGAGCGGGGAATCGAACTCGGGTCGCTGGGTTCGTAGCGCAGCGCGCAAACCACTCACCCCCCCCCACACACACACAGAGGCACACTCGTAACCACGCCAACACGCAACCAACACGCACGAACCCTCCGCGTAGCCGACACGGCTTCGTGTCAAGCAAGTGCTGTTAGCGGTCTCGTATTAAAGCGGGCACCGCGGCAGACGCTCATTGTTGCGGCCGAGTAGACCTAGGGGCGGCCCAAGACCGGGCTCAGATAACCGTCGTTGGTTGTCGGCCGTGAGCGGCAAGGTTCGGGGTGGGGGGGGGGGCGCAGTGCGCTAACCACTGTCCCACCGCTCCACCCCCCACAATGTAGACCACCTGCCCGTATGATCGTATAGCGCAAAGACAAAGGTTCCCCCACACACGTGTAGCCTGCACAGGCTGCTGGGGCAAGTGCTGCTTGCGGAGCGCCACCGAGGGAGAGGGTGGGTCGGACCGTACTCCGTGCGCGACCGCCTTTGTCTCCCCAGTGGCGCTGATGTTCGCACACCGCACCGGGTACTCGTTTTAAGGCCGAGTAGACTTACGGGGGGGGGGGTGCCGTGAGCGGGAATCGAACTCGCGTCGCCGGGTTCGTAGCGCAGCGCAGCGCTGACCGCTACACTCACGCACAAAGACAAAGATCCCCCGTGTAACCTTACCAGAGTGTTAGGGCAAGTGCTGTTAGCGAGTAGCGCCTATGAAGACCGACACGGCGCACGAGGGAGTGGGTGGCCGGCACCATGCCCGGCCACCTTTGTATCTGGGGGGAGGGGGGGGGGGGCTACACAGCGCGCTAACCGCTGCGCCACCGCTCCCCACCCACCACCACCACCACCCCCCCATACACAACGACAATCATAGACAGAAGACGAAAGCTTCCTCTCCCCGCGCGGTGTCCATGGAGGCTGCGAGCAGAGTGCGGCGCGAGAGGGCTGCCGTCTAATTAACGCCTCCGAATCTGCGCCTCGGGGACGTGAGAGGAGAGAGAGAGGGGGGAGAGAGAGGAGGGGAGAGGGGGGTTTACACAAAGCAAAGCATTAAACAAAAAATAAACGAAATGATGAACGAAGCAAAGTGCCGACTACACCGAGCATCTTCTTGTTTCATCTGATCGTTAAAAAAGAAGAAAGCGGAGAGAGAGAGATAATTTGCGTGTCATCCTTGTGCAAGGGGCCATGCTAATCTTCTCTGTATCGTTCCAATTTTAGTACATGTACTGCCGGAGCAAAGAGAGAGAGAGAGGAGAGACGGGAGGAGGAGGAGAGATGCAAAGGCAGAGAGAGCCGCGGAGTTGGAGTGGCTGGTGGTGGTGGTGGTGCATGGTTAGTGGTGGCCGTGGTGTCGAGGCGTCGGTGGTGGTGGTGGTGGTGAGGGTGGGAGGCTAACCGAGACGTCGCGACGCCGATTCCAGCTCGCGAGCGATAACGGTGGCGATTATTAGAAACGCGGGCCTCCCCTAGATCGACTCGGCCACAAAAAAACGAGTTCTTTAGCGCGGTTGCGTGAACATCGCCACCGGGGAGACAAAGGCGGCCGGGCGGAGGTGCTGGCCACGTGCCCGAGCACCTCGCGACTTGCTCGCAGCACTTGCCCCAACGGTCCGTGGCAGGCTACACGGGGGATCTTTGTCTTTGTGGTGGCAGTGGCGGAGGCAAAGGGTGATGAGTTCGTCTCGCGACCACCACCACCACCACCACCACCTTTCTCCTGCATGCTGGTGACGAGTAGGCGAACCACCGCCACCACCACCGCCACCGCCACCACCACCACCTTTCTCCTGCATGCTGGTGACGAGTAGGCGAACCACCATCATCATCATGCCTGTTATGAAGGGGCTCCTGGCTCCACAGAATACCTTCCTTGATACGATCGCCACAAGATTCGATGGCACCCGTGAGTATGACTACACCTCACCTGTGACTCACCTACACCTGTGACTCACCTTCACCTGTGACTCACTTACACCTGTGACTCACCTGCACCTGTGACTCACTTACACCTGTGACTCACCTACACCTGTGAGCACACCTTCACCTGTGACTCACCTGCACCTGTGACTCACCTACACCTGTGACTCACCTACACCTATGAGCACACCTACACCTGTGACTCACCTACACCTGTGACTCACCTACACCTGTGACTCACCTGCACCTGTGACTCACTTACACCTGTGACTCACCTACACCTGTGAGCACACCTTCACCTGTGACTCACATGCACCTGTGACTCACCTACACCTGTGACTCACCTACACCTGTGACTCACCTACACCTGTGACTCACCTACACCTGTGACTGACCTCCACCCGTGAGCACACCTACACCTGTGACTCACCTTCACCTGTGACTCACCTACACCTGTGACTCACCTTCACCTGTGACTCACCTACACCTGTGACTCACCTACACCTGTGACTCACCTACACCTGTGACTCACCTTCACCTGTGACTCACCTACACCTGTGAGCACACCTTCACCTTTGAGCACACCTACACCTGTGACTCACCTACACCTGTGACTCACCTACACCTGTGACTCACCTTCACCTGTGACTCACCTACACCTGTGACTCACCTACACCTGTGACTCACCTTCACCTGTGACTCACCTTCACCTGTGACTCACCTACACCTGTGACTCACCTACACCTGTGAGCACACCTTCACCTTTGAGCACACCTACACCTGTGACTCACCTACACCTGTGACTCACCTACACCTGTGACTCACCTTCACCTGTGACTCACCTACACCTGTGACTCACCTACACCTGTGACTCACCTACACCTGTGACTCACCTTCACCTGTGACTGACCTACACCTGTGACTCACCTACACCTGTGAGCACACCTACACCTGTGACTCACCTACACCTATGAGCACACCTACACCTGTGACTCACCTACACCTGTGACTCACCTACACCTGTGACTCACCTGCACCTGTGACTCACTTACACCTGTGACTCACCTACACCTGTGAGCACACCTTCTCCTGTGACTCACCTACACCTGTGACTCACCTACACCTGTGACTCACCTACACCTGTGACTCACCTACACCTGTGACTGACCTCCACCCGTGAGCACACCTACACCTGTGACTCACCTTCACCTGTGACTCACCTACACCTGTGACTCACCTTCACCTGTGACTCACCTACACCTGTGACTCACCTACACCTGTGACTCACCTACACCTGTGACTCACCTTCACCTGTGACTCACCTACACCTGTGAGCACACCTTCACCTTTGAGCACACCTACACCTGTGACTCACCTACACCTGTGACTCACCTACACCTGTGACTCACCTTCACCTGTGACTCACCTACACCTGTGACTCACCTTCACCTGTGACTCACCTTCACCTGTGACTCACCTACACCTGTGACTCACCTACACCTGTGAGCACACCTTCACCTTTGAGCACACCTACACCTGTGACTCACCTACACCTGTGACTCACCTACACCTGTGACTCACCTTCACCTGTGACTCACCTACACCTGTGACTCACCTACACCTGTGACTCACCTACACCTGTGACTCACCTTCACCTGTGACTGACCTACACCTGTGACTCACCTACACCTGTGAGCACACCTACACCTGTGACTCACCTACACCTGTGACTCACCTACACCTGTGACTCACCTTCATCTATGACTACACCTACACCTGTGACTCACCTACACCTGTGAGCACACCTACACCTGTGACTCACCTACACCTGTGACTCACCTTCACATGTGACTACATCTACACATGTGACTCACCTTCACCTGACTCACCTACACCTGTGACTCACCTACACCTGTGAGCACACCTACACCTGTGAGCACACCTACACCTGTGACTCACCTACACCTGTGACTCACCTACACCTGTGACTCACCTACACCTGTGACTCACCTACACCTGTGAGCACACCTACACCTGTGACTCACCCACACCTGTGACTCACCTACACCTGTGACTCACCTACACCTGTGACTTACCTACGCCTGTGACTCACCTACACCTGTGACTCACCTACACCTGTGAGCACACCTACACCTGTGACTTACCTACACCTGTGACTCACCTTCACCTGTGAGCACACCTTCACCTTTGAGCACACCTACACCTGTGACTCACCTTCACATGTGACTCACCTTCATCTGTGACTACACCTACACCTGTGACTCACCTTCATCTGTGACTACACCTACACCTGTGACTCACCTTCACCTGTGAGCACACCTACACCTGTGACTCACTTACACCTGTGACTCACTTACACCTGTGACTCACTTACACCTGTGACTCACCTACACCTGTGACTCACCTACACCTGTGAGCACACCTACACCTGTGACTCACCTACACCTGTGACTCACCTTCACCTGTGAGCACACCTTCACCTGTGACTCACCTACACCTGTGACTCACCTTCACCTGTGACTCACCTACACCTGTGACTCACCTTCACTTGTGACTCACCTACACCTGTGACTCACCTTCACCTGTGACTCACCTTCACCTGTGACTCACCTACACCTGTGACTCACCTACACCTGTGACTCACCTACACCTGTGACTCACCTTCACTTGTGACTCACCTACACCTGTGACTCACCTACACCTGTGACTCACCTACACCTGTGACTCACCTTCACCTGTGAGCACACCTACACCTGTGACTCACCTACACCTGTGACTCACCTACACCTGTGACTCACCTTCACTTGTGACTCACCTTCACCTGTGACTCACCTACACCTGTGACTCACCTACACCTGTGACTCACCTACACCTGTGACTCACCTACACCTGTGAGCACACCTACACCTGTGACTCACCTACACCTGTGAGCACACCTACACCTGTGACTCACCTACACCTGTGACTCACCTTCACCTGTGAGCACACCTTCACCTGTGACTCACCTACACCTGTGACTCACCTTCACCTGTGACTCACCTACACCTGTGACTCACCTTCACTTGTGACTCACCTACACCTGTGACTCACCTTCACCTGTGACTCACCTACACCTGTGACTCACCTACACCTGTGACTCACCTACACCTGTGACTCACCTTCACTTGTGACTCACCTACACCTGTGACTCACCTACACCTGTGACTCACCTACACCTGTGACTCACCTTCACCTGTGAGCACACCTACACCTGTGACTCACCTACACCTGTGACTCACCTACACCTGTGACTCACCTTCACCTGTGACTCACCTACACCTGTGACTCACCTACACCTGTGAGCACACCTTCACCTGTGACTCACCTTCACCTGTGACTCACCTACACCTGTGACTCACCTACACCTGTGACTCACCTTCACTTGTGACTCACCTACACCTGTGACTCACCTACACCTGTGACTCACCTACACCTGCGAGCACACCTTCACCTGTGACTCACCTTCACCTGTGACTCACCTACATCTGTGACTTCACCTGCACCTGTGACTCACCTACACCTGTGACTACACCTACACCTGTGACTCACCTACACCTGTGACTCACCTTCACCTGTGACTCACCTTCACCTGTAACTTACCTTTACCTGTACTTGTGCCTACACCTACACCTGTGCCTACACCTACACCTGTGACTACACCTTCACCTGTGATTACACCTTCACCTGTAACTCACCTACACCTGTGACTACACCTGTGACTCACCTTCACCTGTGACTCACCTTCACCTGTGACTCACCTTCACCTGTACCTGTGCCTACACCTACACCTGTGACTACACCTACACCTGTGACGACACCTGCACCTGTGCCACAGGTGTTGTTATTCCTGCTCTTCCTACATCCATAATGGACTTTCTCTCTGTGTGTGTCTCTCTCTGTGTGTCTCTGTGTGTGTGTGTCTCTCTCTCTCTCTGTCTTTGTGTGTGTGTGCCTCTCTCTCTCTCTGTGTCTCTGTGTGCCTCTCTCTCTCTCTGTGTCTCTGTGTGTGTCTGTATGTGCGTCTCTCTCTATGTGTGTCTTTCTCTCTGTGTGTGTCTCTCTCTGTGTCTCTGTGTGTATGTGTGTCTCTCTCTCTCTGCGTGTGTCTCTCTCTGCGTGTGTCTTTCTCTGTGTGTCTTTCTCTCCGTGTCTCTCTCTCTCTCTCTGTGTCTCTGTGTGTGTCTCTCTCTCTGTGTCTCTCTCTGCGTGTGTCTCTCTCTGTGTCTCTCTCTGCGTGTGTCGCTTCCTCTGCACGGCTGCCGATGTTAACTGCAAAGCCCAGACAGCCGCTGGCAGTAGCAGCGGGTGCTGTGTTTCGTCGCTGTGATGACTCCTTCGATATTTGTGCAGCGGTAGGCGAGGGGGTGCGAGTTTGCCTTTCAGAGAACCAAAGTTGTTGGTGGTGGGGGGTGGGTGCAGGTTAAAGCGAAGGTGAAGAACCAGTCGCTTAGTGGTTCGAGATCATTGCGTGGTCCCACGTTGTACTGCTGCCACGGTTTGTTCTATATTACGAAAGTCTCCACATCGCCACCGCTACTAACACTACTGATGGGCTCGCATGATGCACATGCATAATGTACGTTGCCTCAGTAACCCCCCCCCCCCCACACACACACATTGTGCAAGAGCGCAGAAGCGTGGTCACCACATCTACGCCTCGATATAAGGAACGAAACAGGTGGACTTCTCCACAAATGTGGCTGTCGCCTGATGAAGCTGGTTGTAATCACTGGCGAAACGTCGTACTCGGAATGTAGATGTTGTGGCTTGGCTCTCCAACACACAACCGGGTGGTGCTGTACTGGTTTACTACACTATACACTACTATACACTACACTATTATACACATCACTACTATATACTACACTATACACTACACTACTATACACTACATTATACATTACACTACTATAAACTACAATATAC